CTCGTAACTCGTAACGAGTCGAAATTTAACACGAATAATTTCCTGTGCCGTTAGTTGGAAGGTCGAGATTCGAGAAAACGAATAAGACGGCTAAGGATTTTTATTTAAAAAAAACGAGAAATGACGTAAGTCGAGGTATTACTGTATAATAAAAATTAATTTAACATCGCTTACAAGTGTGTAACCTAGTTCTTGTTTGAGTACTGCATATTCATTGAAAATGTCAGAAATGTTTCCTTTATGTTTTTCTATTAAAATATATCTCAGTTTACGAGATTTGTCCCAATGTTCTACTACAGACGTCCAAGGTGCTGTGTTGTACTGCAGCCATTGCAAATGTGTGTTGCAAGCACGCTTTGCTGTCATAACATGTATAAATGTATATCAATATGTGTGTGTGTGTGTGTGTGTGTGTGTGCGCGCGCGCGCGCGCGCGCGATATTTATAGAAAAAATGTTTTACAAAAAATTAACGTAAAATCAATTAAATTTATACTATATCACAAAACTGTAATTTTTAGTATAATTTTAAAAAATTATTTTTTATCGTCATTACTTGCAGGACTAACGCTTGATTCAGAATCAGAACCATCAATATCGATATCATTTCTTTTTCGTTTCTTCTGTACAAGTCCAAGTTTACGGCACTCATCTAGTTTATTTCGGTAATAGTCTGGTAATTTTCCTTTTGATACTCTTTGGGAAGGTCCTTCAGATTTTGGTGGAACATAATAAAATGCTTGACGTTCGTTTGGGAACAATTCGTGGATCTTTTGCGATAAAATATCAAAATCACCATTTACCAAGCGAACTCTAGGAACATTCGAACATATTAATGTAATACATGTAATGAGTATACAGAGTCTCCGACAAGTCACTGACCAACCGAAGAGAAAGAGTAGAGAGGGTCAAAATAAAAAAATGTCATACCATTTCGCAAAATATATAATAGTTATTGAAAAATTAATTAAAACGTCTGAGTGAATAAGCGTATAGGAAGCGACAGGCCGGACTCTGTACGTACGTATAAAAGGATTGCTTGCAACTTATAAAAATAATGACTATTTTAGAATCTCCTAGCAACGGTGAACATCAACTGACAGCGATAGGCGTGGTAAGCGAGCGGCTAGCGACTAAGCCTCTCGCTGTTAGTCAATGCTCACAGTTGCTAGGAGATTCTAAAACAGTTATTGTCCTTATAAGTTGGAAGTAATCATTTTTTTTATACGTGCCTATAGAATCCAGCCTATGTGCTACTTCCTGTGTGCTGAGACGTTTTAATTAGTTATTCAATATCGCGTTTTTTGCAAAATGGTATGATACTTTTCTTTATTTTCCTCCTCTCTACTCTCCCTTTTCGGTTGGTCAGTGACTTGATTTTTATTTTACAGAGACACTTTGTAGAATAAAAAATATTTAGTGTTTACATTTCTGTGGTTTCCTCAGATTTGTGATACATAAAATGAGTAACAAGAAGTTCAGTCAGTTTCCTACGTTTGGCTTCATCAAGTATGTTATGCTTTTCATAAAAATGTATAATAATTTGTCCATCTACAAAATTTGTTAACAGTCTTTTCAGATCCTATAAAAATAATCAAATATAATACAAATATACATGTATGCGTACGTTAGTTTGTTTATAATTATGAACATAAAAATATTACCGTATTATGAATTGTTGCAGAATGACTTGGGCAAATGCACACATTTTCATTTTGTTCGCTTTGATTGTTAGTTTTATCGGGTTTCTTCGATTTTTTCCTTTCAATAGCGTCGGATTTTATTAATATAGGGTTAGTATTCTCTTCTTCGATAGTTGATGCATCCAGTACATCTAATACATTTGTAGTATTACGAGAATCATTTTCAAAACAAATATCATCATTGATAACTATAGATGTTTCATCGCTTAGAGAACCTTTGTTAAAATACGTCTGTCAAGAAATAATATATATTACATCTTTATTTTTAACAAGAAAGTCATATTATTAAAAAACTATAACATACAGAAATTAGTGTATCGTTGCTAGATAATTTGGAAACCTTTGTTTCTTTTGGTGTAAGGCTTTTTTCTTTATTTTCTTTATTATCTGGTACTTCATAACATTTCTTCTACAAAAAGAAAGTAATACTTGCAAGCAGATTGTTCAATTATTTTATATTTTTACTTTCTATTTAAATTCTACGGATAATAAAAACCTTATTCTTACATGTTTTATACTGTCCATCCACAATTTCCTCTTTTCAAGAAAACAGTGAGTCCCTCCAATCGTAGGTATTATTCGTGATACTTCAACCTCGCTTATATTTAGAAAGTACTCCTTATCAATTTCTTCCTCTAATATATAAACACATTCATATAATATATATATAATATACCATATATTCATATATGTATTATAATATATATATTTAAATATTTATATATTTATATATATATTATATATTTCTTTAACATAAAATATATCTCGCAGTATAACACAAATTCGTACGGAATATAACCTTAATAAGAGTACAATAAACTTACCAATAAATCGATCGTACCATTTCGACAGTTTCCATTCATTCAGTCTTGTCCGTATAAATTCTTCATCGTCACTCATCATATCGATATCACAGTTCACGAGATAGGAGTGGCAGGACAATTTTTACAGGAAAACTACACGGCTCACTAAGTACGTGATACGATATGCTGTACAGTATAGAACGATACATCGACTGTATTATTTTCTTTATATAACAGAACACAACACACGCGACATGCATCAACGTGCTCAGACCTGAGACCGCTTGCACGTCGTATATAGGCTCGTCTACACAAGGCGTAAGACGTAAGGCGCGGCGCAAGAGCGCGGGCACAGGCGCAAGAGGATTTTTCCCGATCGTAGGTTAGGGTCGTGGCGCAGCGGCGCAAGCGAAATAAACTAATTTTATTTCTAACGCCTGCGCCTAAGCTCTTGCGCCCGTGCCTTACGCCTTGTCGTGTAGACGAGGCTTATCGCTGCCGAATATCGGGCATGCGTATACGATACTATACTTCGGGCTCGTTCAAGGCTCATATTCCGCAGCGCGTTAACGCGTGCAAGCGTATGTCCCGTGCCTCACCTCACGGCAGAACATTTCGGCTGTGTTCGGGGAGACGAAATTTAGCGCTATGAGCGTACTCTGTCCTTGTTCAACTTTGCAAGTAACAAGGACAGAGCACGCTCATAGTGCTAAATAGCATCTCCCCGAACTCAGCCCAAATGTTCTACCGTGAGGTGAGGCACGGCCGCACGGGCCGCACGGGACATACGCTTGCACGCGTATACAACTGCAGTGTGTGCACACTGTGTGCACGCAACAACGAGCATCTACGCCCTACGGTATATATGCGCAACGCACGCACAAGTTGTGCAAACGTTAACGCGCTGCGGAATATGAGCAACAGAAATGCACTTTTTAGATATGAGTAACAAACCCAGTGAGAAATGATTCGTCGATCGACGTCAATTCGACGGTGTCGATGTCGATTCGACGTCGTTTCGACGTCGATCGACGAATCATTTCTCACTGGGAATAGTTTCGTTAAAACATACCAATGTTCTATTAGGACAGGCCTGTCCACAGATAACCTCACCTCCTCCATACGACGTAACCAAGAAGACTAAAGACAGGAGACACGACTTCTGCAGTCTGCTTAAATTAGTGGTAGGGGTAGGCTAAAATATGGTCGCATTTCATGGGCGCTGTTCGCAATATGGTCGAACGGCCAATTCATGAACTACACGTGCTGGACTTCGAAGCGTCGTGCAACAGAGAAGCCTGAGAGCGGCCACGCCGTAGGGTTTACTTGGGACCGATTTTCACCATCAAAAGTGGATGTAAGAACTACGGAGACACATCTACTTATCGATATTGATACAATATCGAAAAGTGAATTTAGCACGGACACACACCAAAAAGTGATATTTATCGACCGTGTCGATAAGTAGATGTGTCTCCGTAGTTCTTACATCCACTTTTGATGGCGAAAATCGGTCTCAGTAAACCCTATGGCGTAGCAGCTCTCAGGTTTCTCTCTGGTGCAACATACTTTTATTCGGACCGAAATTGAAACATTTACTCCCACAATTCATAATACAACACACCTTAGACATGATTTCACTTCTTTGACACAACGGCTCACAACAAACAACGTAAACGAACTTTGACACACGCGTAGTTCATGAATTGGCCGTCGACCATATCGCGAACAGTGCCCATGAAATGCGACCATATTTTGACCTACCCCCACCACTGGAGTTGAGTCTCCAGAAGGTCAATTCCATCCAGATATCCATTGCTTTTTTCGTTAGCAATAATCTGACTTTAAGAACAGGCGTCAGAAAAAAACTCACGAATGGTTTGTGAGACGCGGCGCGGCCTGCCGAGTCGATTGGAAGAGTGAGGGGAGCCTCGAGCTCTTCACAAGCCGCGGATTAGTCAAGCCTTTGTATTAGGAAAACCAAATGAAACCAAACAAATAATTTGGTTACGCCAATCTCGATACATTTATGTATTTTGTTCTCTCAATAATACATTCATTTAGCACAAGTAAAAAATATAGTAATGCCAATCGAATTATCTCTACCAAATATTTTAGTACCAAATAAAAAAAACTTTTTTTCAGTGCA